GAATAAAAAAGAAAGAGATAGAGACATGCAGAGAGAAAGTAAATGCTTTAGCAAGAGAGTCCTGAAGAGGGGGGGGGGGGCAGTGCTAAGCCCATGCACCCCCATTTTTTTACAAATCCCAAATCCCAGCATCCAAATCCAAAATATTTTTCTTAAAAAAAATTTTTACATTCCTATTTTGTAGTTTTYCCCAYTCCCAGTGACCTAAATCCTATTTTCCTAGGACAAAATAGGCAAATGCCAGATTCCATTTGACTCCTTCAGGATCCTCTAGCAAATGCGACAAACAATTATTACACAAAAAGAAACAAAAACAGATTATGAACTGATGACTGCTGATTAATGAATGTTGGATACAATTTTTTTAATGTGATTGATTCTTAAATGTATTATATCCAGACCTCAATGTTGTTTGACGTCAAGCTTGGTGGTGAATTCAACGGCCAAGTTACATTTTACCAACCTGTTCTTGCACCTCTTCCTATTGAACAGGCTGTCATTAGAAACGGTAAGTCATAGTGTTTCTTATCATCATCATCAGTGTTGTCATTATCATCAATATTTGAGAAAACTGGTGTAGTGGAAAGCATTTTATTATAGAATACCGTGGGCGAAATTGCTACAACTTTGGGTGCAGATGAATCGACTGTGGGCAAAACTATTAGCGGGAAAATGATCAGTTACCCACCGCTATCACTGCAAACAACAATATCATCACCCTTACCAACAAGAACAACATCAATACTACACCTTCACCATAACCATCACCACAACCCAACAACAACAACATCAGCAACAACAACAACAGCAGCAACAACAACAACAGCAACAACAACAACAGCAGCAGCAACCACACCATTGTGATCACTTGATATCAAAGTTTTTATCGAATAGTACTCCTTTTAACCTGGTGTTTTTATGACAAACAATGTTACTTCTGTTTCAGCTTCTTCAAACAATGTTCAAATGCAAGATTCTACCATAGCCAATGTACTATGTGAAATGTGTATCCTTTATTCCCTACAAGTAACTGTGATCCTTGAGTGGTGTGTTGTCTGTTTGTTTAGACAGATTGTATAACTCTCCCTCTTTACCTTGGGTGTAAAGTTTTCGCATTTCAGACCATGTGTCTTTCTCTTGAGAATAAGATTTTTTTTCAAGTCCTATCCCTATTCATTAGTCCTCACAACCATTAAAAAAAGAAATGATACTGTAGGGAATGACATGTGGTCTGAGCCAAAGAGATCTATTGAGAACACTGGTATATTTTCTTGACTCACTGAAAAAAAATCTTCAGATTCACAAAACTGGATAGTTTTCCAGCCAAACATAATAATAGATGCACGACTAGGTAAGTAGTTTCTACAACACAGCCTTGCTTGAAAAAAGATAATTCAATAAACCAGGAAGGTGAGAGAACCTCCCTGAATGAAGAGACAGTTTWAACTTTAATACTTTGGTAAAATGGGMAYGGTGTCGTATGTGAGTAGAGTTGTCTGTTGGTTACCCTGCAAAGYAGGCGTTCTTGTGGGTTTGGGGAGAAACTGCGGTTTTGGGGGAACTTTGAAAATTTGGAATGAGCAAAAATTGAAACTTCCTCCTCCCCCCACGTTCCCTTTTTTGCTAGGTCCCATTTTTCTTGTGGGCACGTAGTTGAATCAGGAACCCCAAAACCCGATTCTTCCTCAAACCCATCACAAGAACACCTGCTCTGCAGGCTATCTGTTGGTTCTCTCYTGTGCTTTGAGGGGTTTTCTCCTTGTTYTTCAGTTTTCCTCCCTCTGAAAAWAACAACTTCTAAATTCCAATTCAATCTTAGGAGATCTTATTTTCAATAGGGTTAACCTCTTATATCTCCTTTTGCACTACTAATGCTCATAAATTGTTGGGTTTTTTTTCATTAAAGAAAACTAGATTTTGGTATTGAGTTATATTCTTTTAAAACACTAGGTTGTTTATGGGAAGTTTTGCTTAAACTTGAACCACTGGTTACTATGATTCAAGACAAGGTAACTAACAATTTATTTAGATACATTTTTGTCACCATACCACACCTTCAGTGCTGGGCTGTAGCCAGGAATTTCTGAAGGGGGAGGAGGGGCATAATCAAAAATCCACTATATTGTGTGAGAGCCCCAAAAACGCCTAACTTAACAAAAATTWAAAAAAACGGCATTTCATTTTAGGTTTTAATTTGAAATGATAATAAAAAGAAGAGCCGCCATTTTGTTGACATAAAGGGGGGAGCTCTGGCCCCTTGGCTCCCCCCTGCCTACGCCCTTCAGTGAATGTAGTCATCATCCTTAGAGTAGAACTACTTCTCCTTTGACTCCTCCTCATCGACAGTGACTCGAAGAATATATACAGTGCTTACCCAGGCAGTCTGGCACGCAAGATTAATAGCTTTATCATTATTTCTGTTTAGGGGTTGTTGATTGACTTTCTGCTTCTCAGACGAGACAGTAACATGGTCATTYTAGCTGTATTCAAACAAGGTAGAGTATAGGGAATGGATAAAGATGAAACATTTTTTAAAAAACATCTCTTAGAGGAATTGGTACTCAAAGGTTATCGTATCCATAGTCCCAAAATTTCATGCTCAATGAATTCATTCGGTCAGTCTGTCTGTTGGTCTGTCCGTCCTTCCGTCTATCTTAAAAGTCTTCCAGCTGATCTGTGAAAAAATGTTAGCCAATCAGAATCGAGAAAATTTGCAAAACTGAGGTGTCACTTTTCCTCTTGAAATTAGGGATTTCCAGGCCGCCAAATGAAAAAAATAACGTTGCTAATACGCTCTTGATCGGAAATTAATTTTTCCGAATTTATTTCCAAGGGTCTTTCGCCCGGAATAACCTCGTTCCCAAGCACTATAACTTATCTATATTTCCGCTCTTGATAACAGTGAAACAATAATTCATGACTTACTCCGACGAAGGACTAACGTCCGAAATGTCTAGTTTCACAATGCTTTTTACGGTGATTCAATTTATCTACAAGATCCTACAATAATTCATGAGTTTTCTATTTTTATTCCAATACTTTTCGCAGCTCAATTTTTGCTGGTTTCACGACACCACAGTTTTGCAGTGACGTCATTTCTATCTTACCATTTCAGATCAGCTAGTTTCTTTATCCATACATACATGTGATTTCAATTGAGAATGTGCTGTTTTATCCCTAGCCCTGATTCCTGGCCGACAGTCTAATCTAACTGTGATAGCTCGTATGTTTGATAAAGTCAACAAAGTCTACCGTGCTGTCTTGGACAACGAAAATGTTGCCTCCCAGGTAATAATTAGTTATTATAAGACATGATTGTATAGTATCATAGTGCAGTTTTCGTATGATTGAAAAGCTCAGTGCCGTAAGCGTGAGGTGCCGTGACCGTGATGTTTTCTGGCATTGCCGTGACCTTGGCGTGACTGTGTCCGCGCCGTATTTATGCCGTGTTCCGGGTATTTGATTGGATGGAGAGTAAATTCTCGTGCAATGTGATTGGTCTGGCGTATCTCTTGCTGTGTCATGGCCGTGTTCGTGCCGTGAATTTTTCACAGTAATACGAAAACTACACTATAGCTTCTTATTATATAGACATTATGCATCAGTAAAAGTAAACCCCGACCCCCATGATTCCATGCCAACCTGTATTTCGTCATACATATATTTATGAAGTACTTTGCAACGTTCGTTTTTAGGTAACAGAAGGAGGCAGACAGACTCCTACTAAAACACAGGTTACAAGGTACGATACTGTTACAGGTTAAAAAACATATAAGTTGCTATTGATATCAAATAGACAGAACACATGCACAGTTGCGTAATCGGTGAAGCTAACGTTCGCATAAGAAGGTGTGCTATATTAGGGAGGTAACTTCTTTGACTTATAGATAAACGGACAGTATTTGCCCCATAACAGTCTCTGTCTACTCAATTGTGTAGCGTTSGTGCACTTTGAATAGATTACATCACGTGGGAATGGTAACATGGGATACGGCTACGGTTTTTTCGAATTTTTTTCCAAGCTCTAGTGCYGTTTCTCGTTCAAACGAGAACAGCTCCATTGTTCGTCTGTGGTATTATAATGAATTGTACTGTTTGTTGTTTTCCAGTACCCAAACAGTCGTTAACCAACACGATATGTACACCCATGTGCTATCGATGTTTGTCGATAATAAGGTAACTAATGATATTGAATGATATGTACCGTGCCGTGTCGTGACAACATGATATGTACACTCATGTGCTATCCATGTTTGTCGATAATAAGGTAACTAATGATATTGAATGATATGTACCGTGCCGTGCCGTGACAACATGATATGTACACCCATGTGCTATCGATGTTTGTCGATAATAAGGTACCTAATGATATTGAATGATATGTACCTTACCGTGCCGTGACAACGTGATATGTACATCCATGTGCTATCGATGTTTGTCGATAATAAGGTACCTAATGATATTGAATGATATGTACCTTTCCGTGCCGTGACAACGTGATATGTACACCCATGTTTATCAAAGTTTGTCGATGATTATTCGTGCTCTTATGAGTTCTTAGACTATGATCACTGCACGGCTAGTGGGTGGGAAGCGTACCCTCCTCTAATAATCCAAGTATAGTGTGGTATGAAATATAAAGGTCAGCCAGTAGCCTGAACCCCTTTTATTCGTTTGCGTTTTTTTTTCTAAGGATATCAAGTACAAGTTCATGGTKGCTGTTCTTGTAGAGTACATACGATCTCTCAACCAGTTTGAAATAYACCCTGAGGTACGTATTTCTTCTAAACATTCAGGTTTGGTTCAGTGTCAATCATTTTGGTCTCCGCCAACGAGCGAAGGGCTTTTGACTGTCAACTGTCCCTGTCTTTCCCTGTCTGAATTGTTCAGTTTTTGGTTACAAGCATGAAACCACAAATGGAAGATCAGATGCTGATTAATTTTTGATSTAGCGCCACGCCCAAAAATGATTAATTCGAGTTTTACAGCAGTGGAAATTATTTTCGTTAAAGAGACGATGAGATTGGGGGAAGATGCATATTAAGCTTGTCCTCCAGTATAAGAGTATTAATGAGGTATTAGGTAATCAACTTTCTCATATTCATTAATAATTCATGAGTAAACCAGCCAATCAATGGGCTATTTTTGGGTCACATGATGTTACTTGAAACCTGGTAAAGTGCTGTGAAAGGAATGCATTCGGTCTGGAGTAACTAGAACTAGATTAATTCAGTCCTAGGATCGAATTAATTTTATTCCAGCTACTCCAAGTCGAATAATTAATGAGCATGAGAAGTCATTTCATGATCAAGGTCTGCAATATCAGACTGGACGGGGTTTCAAGTCCGCGCAATTAGTTCCAGTCCTCGTTTGCGCCTCGGACTGGAACTAATTGCTTAGACTTGAAATCCCATCCAGTCCTCATTGTCGGCTTTGAAATATTTAGTCTCAACTTTTGAAAGTTGAACTAACCTGCTACAACACACTCAGGTCGTCTTTTAAAACTAGATTAACGTCAGAGATGTTCGTTTGTTTGTTCCAGCAYTATCTGTATGAACTAGTCATCAACCTACTAGTAGCAAACAAGTGTTACTATCAACTCCATCAGGTCAGTACACATGAAAAGACATTTAGTTTTAAATCGGTTGATTCAGTAATGCTGCCTTCTCGAATAAATCCCAAAGACGTTTTTAGCAAAATCACTACCCAACAAGTATGAAAAGTGCTTCATTCGTTATTGATTTCCATGCTAATGTGAGCTACGCAACGAGCAAATAAAGTATTCGATGGTCTGGCCAGTGAATAGATTGGTACGGAAGCCAAATWTCCAGACGTGTGGCGGGAGTYGTTATTGTGAATRAKGATACYTTGTGTGAGCAATCKTATTGGCTGAGCAGTGATCTCRYGCMCTGTGATTGGTTCAATAGCTGTCGTCAATTGCGCACCATGAYATTACCGATTACCGTRTRTCKTGCCTTGACRCGCCMCAGTCATACGATATCAACTTAGTAATGAAAATGATTCCATACCTTCGAGTTAAACTTACGTATGATGAGTAACATACTTTTTGTGGCTTCTCTTTTCTCTGCAGTTTCTACAGTACCACGTGATCAGTGACTCCAAACCCTTGGTAAGTCATGTTGACGTACTGTGACGTTATCCATTTGTTTTACGTAAATTGTGGATTGGCTTATCGAACAAAGCAAAAACCAATATATACAGCTATCTTAAACAAGGTTGATGAAGGTTATTTGTTGCATGTTGTATCTTGCATGTTGCTCGTTTCTTTCTAAGCTTGAAAGGAATTATATTCATATGTAAATAATGTCAGCACAAGAAAATATGCTGGGAAAACGTGTAGAATAAATTTTAAAATATTTCATATCGTTGTGACCATTCGCTGATGGTATTCACATCACCCATGGTGCATTTCGGGCTTGCTATTCAAAGTACAACAAACGACAAAACCTTCACCAACCTTTTTAGAAATAGCTGTATTTGGAAATTACCATATTCTTGATTGTTACAACATGAAGTATTCTTTTTTTAATGTGATTTTTTGGTATTATTCCAGGCATGTTTGATGTTGTCACTAGAGAGTACCTACCCACCAGCATACCAGCTGGCACTCGATATGCTCAAGGTATTAAATGGTTCACTGTACCATCATAAACACTAAACCTGAATAAAACAATTCCATACAAATTACTGGTCTTCACAGCCGCCATATTCTTGGAGTGCAACCACRTGATCAAAAAATCTCTTGAGATAAATATAACAATGAAACAGCCGCCATCTTGGTTAATCTAACAAGTGAAGCTTTATGAGGAATGCTTTGTATAGTCAACCAACATGGCGGCTATGACGTAACATGCACCCAAAGAATAGGTAGAATTTTT